TTCCGGTGTAATTCGATTTTCGGCCGGCGTCGCGGAATGTTTAACGGCTCAATTATACGCCGAACGCACGGCGGCGGCGATCGCCGCCGGCGAAACGGTACGGGACACGAGGCGCTTTTTCGGGCTCTCCGGGACGTTCCGAGGACGGTTTTCCCGTCCGCCTCACATCTCGGTCGTTCGATTGTTGGATCGACCCGCGAGTAAAACGGAACGGTTTTTTTTTTTTTTTTTTTTTTTTGTCGTCAAACAATTCGCGCGTTAAACCCGCCGCGCTCGTTTCAGAAAACCGACATCGCCGCAGAGCCGCTGCGGCAGCCGTGCCGCAGGACGCGCGGCCGTTGGAAAACGTTTACCGCCGTCGTTCGGTTCCGATTGTCACGGCCGCGGCCGTAAATTAGACAAAATAATCCGAAAATATTCCAAAACCAATGTTCCGGGACGGGTTTTTAGAAACCGAGTTGAGGCTCTGTGTGGTTTTCTGCCGGCGGTTTTACTCGGATTTGCAAGTACAGACATTTTTTTTTTTTTTTTGGAGGGAAATCCGACTGGGGTGATACTTCAAGAAGACTGAAAAACGGTAAGGAGATCGGCGAATTTTTGGAAAATAAGTTCTACGTCCGAGACTTTCACTTGTTATTAAAAATAATTTAGGCACGTATACGAAATAAAATTCGAGGAGCTATTTATTTGCTCAGTACATGACTTTCTTTGGCAAGGGCGGCGCAGTTTGCAGATTCCGGAAAAAATACGCGAGGAGAAGGATGAGGTAATGAACAGGTCTGGTCACTCATTGATGTGGGAGCCTACGAAATGATTTAAATAAAGGGGAATTGAGGTTTAAATTTACTAAGTTATGTGTGCAAAACATTTTGTTTTGAATTTGTTCAATTATTAAAATGACGTCCTAGGATAATGGGAACGGGTGCAGCCACTGTTATAGGTAATTTAATGTATACTTATAAGTAACGATAAACCGTTGCTTACGAAAAAACGATTCCGATATCAGTTGACATTGATGGTCTGTCAACAATATATACATGCAATATTAAAATGAAATAATTATTAAATAGGCTCCATATATTTTCTTTAATAATATCTGTTTAGTATTGTACCGATTTCTATGGTTTTCCTACGTTTTTTCCGGTGTTCCTGTGTTTTTCACCGGTCATTCACATTTGCCGAGAAAATTGAAAAACCTCCTCTATAAATCTTTAAAAATTTGATAGAAATCGCTGGTAAAAAAGTTGTCGACGGACAAAAAAAAAATATAAAAATATACATCTTTTAAAACCGCGAACTTCATCGCTTCGCTCAGAATCTAAAATGTCACTCATACCCCGTGTGTTCTAGGTGCCTCTGTTGTTCTATTCAAACAAACAAACATGATTTTCGCGGGCCTCTATTTCTCGCGAGCCCGGGGATCGCGGCCACCTCTGCCCTCCCCCCCTCCCCTTCCCATTAAATCCTGCCCCGGGAATGAACCCGTTACCGACCCGCGCGTTATTACCGTCGGTGTTGCCGTTATCGTCGCAAAACGACGGCGCCGTATCGAAACGCGAAGCGCGGCCGTTAGTCTTTAATACTGTCGGTCGACGGCGGCGCCGGCGTCATTTCAATGAGATCTCCCGAGGGGTTTACCAAAGGCTGTGGCGACGCAATTACACGCCGCGCACAATAAGACGGCGGCGGCGGCGTTCGCGCGTATTTCCACGTCGCCCGTCCGGCCATCTTCACGGTGCGATTATTTCGCGTATAATGCGTCGCGGACGCCCTCGCGTTATCGGTTAACGAGATTACGGGGAGCCCGGGCCGGGGATTCGCCGCGTCTCGGCGTGCGTGGCGCGCGAGCCCGGGATAGAGACGGTCGGACGGACCGGGATTTTCCGCCGCCGCCGCCGACTACGTCCGTCCGAGTGGGTCCGAGCGTGTCACGCGTACGCGGTAACGCAAATCCGATTCGATACCGTGTAACCGCGTAGACTGCTCGTACGTCCGGGCGGAAAGCGTTAACCCCGAGGACCGTGTTGGGTGCGGCAGGTCCGAACGGACCCGGAGAGACGGGCCGGTATAAAGCCCGGCGTATTCGCGCTCCGGGGACGGCCCGCGATCACACGACGGTTCGTTTTTTTTATCCCGCGTGCTTCCGTCCTCGGAACGGAACTCCGCACGCCCGGACGCGTTTTCGCGCTAGATTTTCCGCCCGGGCGTACAAGTCTACGCGCACAATACGCGCGCGTCAATATTACAACTAGGGCTCTCGATTTATAGGAGCTGAACAGCGGCACGAAAATGCGGAGCGCGTTTTCTCTTAGAAATAATAACAATATTTTTTTCGATACCGTGGCGTTTGTGTAGGCGAAAATTACCACGACCAAGACTTCGCAGATCCCTCGTCCGTGTGCGGTCCGTTCGCCGATCGGAAGGTTCGAGAAATCAATACGCAGCAGCAAGTCCGCAGGTCTGCACAGTGTAACGTTCGTAAAATCTGAGGAATTCGGAAGTTTAGAGATATCGAAAGTTCTTCGGAAAGCCAGATAATTACAGTCTTCGACCGTGGATAAAATATGTGCTTGTGAACCGCTTGCCGTCGCTAGTCGGGTCCGATTATAAAAAAGGTAAAAACGAATTTCGGTTAACTCCTCCATAACCGTAAGCGAATAGACCTGCCGGGAAGACGGAAATATCCCGGTGGCCATTATCCTTCGAAATAAGGAATCCGGAATGGCGCTAAACGCACCGTTGCGCACGATCAAACTTTTCCCGAACAGATATTCCGAGTACGCACGTTTGGTTTTAGTAAAGTCTTCATTTCACTATGTTACTTTTATCAGAAAAATGTACAATAATATTACGTTTTAATGTTATTTTTTTTTTACTATTTTCAATTATATCGTCAATAAGTCATTGGTTGTTAACGTTACATAAAATATAGCCATAAACAACTAAATTGTTTATTAGAAAATAGAATTTATTTTTCCGGGCGACACTGATATTTTTATTCTGCCCTGGCGACGGGTCCGTATATTTAGAGAAACATAACACTCGTATGTACATCCCTCGGAAAATTTAGATGGGTGTGTCAAAATTTTTCGAACGTCCACTTTGCAATTGTGATTATTCTAAAAAAATTTACGTATCCGAAGAATAGTGAAACGAAACTCCGCCCGCCTAAACGCGTTTTCGAGCTAAATGGTCCGTCCGGACGTATAAGTCTACGCGTGCAATGCGCATGCTCGTATATTATAATTAGAGCTCGGAAATTGCAGGAGGGAAAAAATTGTGAAATATGCGTGAACAAATTTTAAATATGCGAAAAGTTATTTAATTATTATTGTGTACAACAAAGATCTTTATCTTTTATCTAAAGATTATATGCAAACCACACCGTTTTTGTTAAATTAATAATAGACCGAGACGATAAGAAACAATAACAAATAATTGCGTTAAATAATATTGAGTTTATATTCAAAATTATTTAAAATACCATTTGTTAAGATTGAAAAAAAGAAAATAATTTTTTTAACGTACATTAAAAACATAGAATTTGACTAAAAATTTGCGAAAATCAATTAAAAACCGTGAAATACGCAATTTTTCTCTTATGTAACCGAAATATGTATTTTTAATTTTTCATTTTATAACTCTCCGTTGTACGAAAATACTTTCTAGTCGGTAAGGGTGAAAACAATTAAAAAAAAAATCCTTGAAAAAAAACAGTTGCCTGTAACCGTTCCATTTTGTGTGGCAAATAGCTTTTGATTGAGACCTCGTCATAATATAACGATTTCGTACGAATAGATGCAATTATCAAATGGCTATAGTATTAAATTTCTAAAAAAAAATTAACGATTTCCGAAATAACGAATTTCTTATCGAGGATTTATCACCCTGTAGCGTCTGTGGTCTTTATAAAAACATAATGAATTATATTTTTCGTTTTTATCATTGAGTTTATACAAATTAACGATAATAATAAACATAATGTAAACATTTTACTCGCGTAATGCATTACATAAATTAAAATATTGTAATAATATTAATCTAATTTCGTTGGAATCTTTTGGCGTTTTGTCCGTCGATATAATCTGATTTTACAAATAAATGCAAAGCCACTGAAAGCTGCAAGTTCGTGGACTAACACGAGTATAATGCGTTTCGTGTAATCTATAAAGTTAATATAATAAGATTTATCTCGTTCACCCCTCCCACCTCGAAAAAATAAAAAAAATATAAAATAAATACGAATAATAAGAATAATTTTATAAACAAAAATGTTCCGAGTTCGTTTTTGCTGCAGCAGGATAACATAATATATTTTATACGTTCGACAATGGGTCGGAAAACAGATAAACAGAATATTTATTTTTTATTCGACAATTTGAGCTTTAATAAAACCTCTTTAATCTGTATAATATATATATTTTTTTTAATACTTGAGCTTCATAAAAATGCGATCACGCGTTTTACTATAGAGAAAAACGTGTTACTTTATATAGCAAAGTACTATAGATTTCACAACAATTCACTATCACTAACACATTATATGTTTAACGTTTTGATTTTAAACGTGATAGCATGCGTTTTAATGATAGTATAAAATAATTATAATATTTTATTACTATTATACTGTTCAGTATTATCATCTCGGATTTATGTGGGAACACAAGAGGAAGAAGAGGACGTGAGAAGTGGAGAGAAGCGTCAAATGTTATATGCGATAAGAGAATATCAACGAGTCTTAAAGGTAATTTCGTGGCGAGAACAACTATGTTGTTGTATGGTTCAAAGTGTTGGGCGTTAGACAGACAAGTAGAACAGGGATGAGAATAAGAATAGGATGGGTTGAGTACGATAAGAAAGTGGGCATAGACGTGACTTCGATAGTAGACAATGTGAGAGAAACTAGACCGAGAGAGTTTGTGTATGTCGCGGGAAGTGAGGAATCGGTCGCAATAAGAACAGTAATGATAATGTGCGTGGGAGAAAAGAGAGGACGAGCACGAGGAAGACCGGAAAAATGACGGTCGGATGCGGCATTTGAAAATGATGCGAGCTTTTTATACTGACAAGGGTAGCCAGTGTACGCGAGGTTGGAGGACGATGCGCGCGGAAATATTTAGAGGACAAAGGCGTCGGACCTCAAATAGCCGGCACGAACGTGAACGAGTAGACGAGATAAGAACGACTGCGACAGAGCACGACCGGTGGTGGCACCTGCTGCTTTTTCCTGCGCAAAACCCGCACAGTCGTTTTTACGATCCGAACATAATATTATTGCCGTTTCGTTATATACTCGTTATTATTATTATTATTATTATTATTATTATTATTATGTACTGTGTCGCGAATACCCGACTGCAATAATAATAACATTGTGTACACGTCCAAATACAATTTCGGACGTGTGTTTTGCATTATTCGCCCGTTACCATAAATAATAAATACACGACACGTCGTTACCGCGGGAAACGTATAAAACGAAACGATATTCAGTTATACGTATAAATATATACGACCTGCTACCGTGCGGGCGGACGTCAACTGTTGAAAATCGGAGATTTGTTGCTGCCGAGTGCGGCCGGTACGCCCAACAGCTGGCCGATTAAAAATAATTGAACGGCTGTAGCGGATGAGTACATCGATGCGGGTTTCGGTCCGGCACACCGCCGTCGTCCGTAAGGACATTATAATTTCGGAAAGTTCGGGCGGCCGTGATGTATACGTGATAGATTTCAAATAGTGATCGGGAGAAAAAAAAAATGTAGTAACGATATAATGACGCGACGATAGAATGCGGTTTTCAGACGTGCACCCGGTTGTTATTCTCGCGACAAAGTTTAGGGAAATGTCTGTTTTTTTTTTTTTTTTACTCCTTCATAACCGTGGGCGAATAGCCTTGCCGGGAAGACGGGAACATCCCGGTGGCCATTATCCTTTGAAATAAGGAATGGCGCTAAACGCACCGTTGCGCACGATCAGACTTGTCCCGAACAGATATTCCGAGTACACACGTTTGGTTTTAGTAAAGTCTTCATTTCACTATGTTACTATTATCAGAAAAATGTACGATAATATTACGTTTTAATGTTATTTTTTTTTTTTAACTATTTTCAATTATATCGTCAATAAGTCATTGGTTGTTAACGTTACATAAAATATAGCCATAAACAACTGGAGTCATTATATACTAAATGATTTGTTAGAAAATATAATACATTGTTCTGGGTGGCTGTAATCTTTATTTCTGCCCCGGTGAAGGATCTGTATATTTAGACAAAAATTACACTCGTATTTACTTCCTTTAATCACCAGAAGTAAAAAGTACTGTTTACTTATTAAAATGTCCCGAACGGCCATTTTTTAATTGTTATTGTTCTAAAACGTGTACATATCCGATGAGCAGCGCGCCTTCGTAACGGCCGTTTTAATGTACAACGCAGGGGTACAAATTACTTTAATTCGTGGTGGAATCTTACCTTCCGTGCTTCTATTATAGTACCGTGATCGTGAATCCTTATCGCGGAACCTATTGTATACGATTTTTTTTTTTCCATATCTCTTCCCCGGGAATTAAAACGGTTGTTAAAATTAACGCAAAGAAGACGAAAGTCTTGGTCTGTAGTAGGGATAATAAGAACAAAAATAAAATTAAAGGATGATGAAACTATAGAACAAGTGAAGTATTTCACATATTTTGGTAGCACTGTAAGCTCAGGTATGAGATGCAGAAAATAAATATTAAAACGAATATGCTAGGCTAAGGCTAGGCTATGCTAGGCTAGGTTTCCCGTGTGTACTAAAATAATAATAATGTATTGTTTATTATGAAAACCATAAGACCTAAGAGATTTAATTCATTATTCGTTTGTACTTCGAGTGTAAATTGAATGTTTTTGTTTATTTTGTTTAGGTGGTTGAATCAATTTTCCGCTTGTCTATTCGAACCTCTAAATGAAATGAACGTGTCGTCAACATATCGATAATATGCTTTTATACACGGAATGTGTATTTCGTCGTTGATAATATTATCGGCTTCAGATAAAAGGGCACTTAAAGGACCGCCCGTGACTTACCCATCATTTTTATATCCCTATACTCTATATAAAACGACCAATTTGTATGGTTTCTTTTTATTCCCCTTGATTTTATTTTTATATTCAGTCGCGTTTTACATTTTGACTGCGATATGCCGGATTGCCATGATTGCTGTCAATTCTAAACCGGTCGTAAACACACTTACGATAATACTCCGGGCGACGCATTGATTCAATTATTTATTTTGCTTTTATGCATACGTTGTTCATTCATACATTTATTCACTTTATTTTTGTATACATTAGCATCGACGGGAAAACGCGGAGAGACAACCTATAATGTAGTATAGCAATGTGTGATGCATCTTCCGCCGAAACGAGCAGACACAATTTTAATAATTTGTCGATAAATCCGCGGGATATACTGCGGCACGGCCGTGGTGAACTGGAACGTTCATAACGACTATTGATTGCTAAAATTATTTTCATTAAGGATTTTTTTTATTTTTTTTTTTTTTCATAATTTGGCCACGACCTTACAACACATAAATTAATATTATACATGCGTGAGATTTCGGCGTAAAAACGAAAATCGATTTCACGGACCGTTGGCGATGATTACGCGCGTATAGGTTTTTTTTTTTTTTTTTTTTTCGTAATCTGCCCGCTCGTCATCGTATTGTTGCTTTTCGCGGTGGCGGCGGCGGTAGGGCGTAAATATAAAATTACAATTTATAATAATGAACGAGGCGCGGTGAGAGAGAGAAGAGCTGACAAAAAAAAAAAAATTACCAAAAAAAAAAAAACCGCCTAATAATCGAGAAAACTTTCCGACCGGCAAAGCGGGGTCGTGATGTATTGTTGTCGGAAGCTCCCGGGACGGTCGAGTTTTTATTTTATTTTTAAATACATATTTTTTTACGTTAAAACAAAAAAAACTGTTGAATCGGCAAACGTGAGAGACGTTAATGGAAGTGTTTCGGCATAAAAAAAAAAAAAAAAAAAAACGTCGGTAGGTAGGGAGGAATAGAGATAGCTTCGGTATTGTGTTCGCGAGTTCAAAATGCGGCGGTGGGGAGCTGGAGGCGGGAGTATAGGGGTGAATAAAGCAAAAATTTTCAAACGATCAAAAATTACATAATATGGAACGGCCGGTGATGTCTAGTCGACATTAATAATTTTTGAAAATTAATTTTTGTCTCTTAATAAAAATTTGGACATGTTTTTTTTCATGTTGTATGTACAGAATGATCATTCCTTGTTAGGGCACTCATTATGACCAATGTCTTTTTTCTGAATTTTTGAAACGAATAGCTCTAAAATTGCAAATTATCGTTACATTATTATGTTGTCTTCGTTATTTTTTAGAGGTGAAATTTTGTTTTCGAATAGCGACCTACAATAACAATAAAAAAAGGAATTTTCAGTTTAAAAACATTTCGGTGTTGAAGTTTTCATTTTTCCCGTTAACCCGTTGATTAGATATTCCACTTTGTTATGTGCGTGGGTTGTGGAAAGTCATTTGTGTGGCTGCTATTCTTCAAAACAAACAAATTCAAAAAAGTGAATACTCGCCGAGATAATGAGTCTCTTATCGAGGATTGATCGCTCTGTATAACTGGAAGGTATACATACATAGTTTCTTTAGGGGGAGGGGGTCGGTGGAACGAAAAATGTTTGGTTTTCACACGGTTCTCACGGTAATCAACTAAAACCAATACATTCTTTGCTACACTCAAAATCTAAAATGAATGAATGCGTCGCCCGGAGTATTATGATAAGTGTATTACCTAAATAAATAGATATAAATAATAATAATAAATAATACATATTTAAATACGAATATAAATATGTAAAAATTAAATTAAAAAATGCGTCGTCTGAAGTGTTATGGTAAGTGTATTATACGACCGGTTTCGAATTAAAAATTCATCATCAATTATATCGCAATCAAAATGTAAAACGCGACTGAATATAATAAAATGAATTTCGTTCATTATCCAGTTTTTCCTTAATTTTTTTTTTTTTTTTTTTGGTATTTTGCATTTGATGAGAGAACACTTTGAGAAAATCAAAAAATGACCACGATAAATACCTGTCCACACCGATTATCATTCGGAAAAGGCGCTATACTTAATAATCAGAGCATGGTCTCTTTGTAACCCCCGACTCGATAGCATCCGCCTCTAAGGTTGGCCCCAAAACGAATTTTCAGTCGATACGATTCGTACGTTGCGTTAGGTTGACACAGCCTGTGTAAACATTTTGTCAAACAGTTCGAGGACTGCTAAGCAAAACTCGGTTGAATTTTCCGCCTTGGATGTATGATGGAACACGAAATAAAAGAAAGAGATGTGTAACATAGAACCGAGCGTGGTTGGATAAAGCAGAGAGAAACGACAAGTTTTTTATGTTCCGACGAGATTTAAAGTTAATTTCTTTAGAGTGTGGCGAGAACGACTGTACATTGTGGTTCGGAGCGTTGGACGATAGGTTGAAAAGTAAAACAGAGAACGAGTGTGTCCGGGATGAAAATACTTGGTGGATGAGTGGAATGACGAAAGAAGATACGATAAAGAACACGTAATTGAGAGGTAGGCACAGACGTGCCTTCGATAAAAGACGAAATTAGGGAAAATAGACTGAGACAGTCTGGGCCTGTCCCAACGATAGAGGAATTGGAATCAACAAGAACAGTTATGAAAACAAACGTAATAGGAAATAGTCGATGATGATGGGGAAGATCGGAAAAGAGGTGGTCGGTTGCGATGGTCTAGAACCGTACGGGACTGACGATACTGACCGAAGCCATTGTGGACGAGACGGAACGTCGGGTTAAGTGAAGGTCTAAGACGAGAGTGGTCGGACCCAATGGCAGGGAATAATAAGACGAAGGAAGAGAAGAGAATTCCGAAAAAACACTCGGGACGTATTCTTTGAGCTGGACGGCGGCGGCTGTTTTATTTCCATGTGTACAAAAGCGTGCACGCGGGCTGAAACTCAACGGCACTATGATTTTGGGTACCGTAAAATTCGAATAGAATTTTCCGCGGTCAAACCGTTTGTGGAGAAAACAGTGCTCCGCGGCAAAGTACGAAAAAAAATATCGGTGTCGCGGCCCGTAAGCGGAGCGAAAGTCCGTTGTCCCCGAGAGATGTGTCGGCCAGTGGACCGACGTGACGGGCGAGGCGAAAACGCGCGGGAAAACCGGCACCGGCTCCCGCGGCCGCT